CGGCTCCCTCCTTGCAGGCGGGTCCCTGCATGTGTGTGTGGAAGGCCGGTGTGTACGGCGCTTGCTGCCCATTAGACAAGCAGATAACGGCTGTTTGTCTCCCATGATGCTCTGCAGGAGAAACTTCAGAGGGCCCTGGGCCCACTCAGGGAGCAGCTGGAGGAGGCCCTGGTGCTGAGAATTGATGAGGAGGAGAAAACCACAGAGTGGCAGGTGGGTGTCTGGGTTTATCTCCCTGAGCCCTTCCCCCGGCAGCGCTCCCAGGGGTGAAGTAGCTGAAAGCTCCAGGACAAGGATATGAACCTGCTCTGGCAAATCAAAACTAGTTGGGGTGTGTCTGCACATGGTACACTCAGCACCCCACTGGAGCGGGGACACCTCCTGAGCGAGCAGAGCTGGGGGCAGGTCAGTGTAAAGCGAGGCGGAGTCTACCCACTTCACAGCCTCTGCTGCCATCGCATGGCCACCTCATCCCAGTCACCTGCTGCTGCTCCTGCGACTGTCCCAATAAGCCATATGGGCTACATCCTCACTGCAAGTTCTTCCAGCAGAAAATATGCTAATGAGAGGCTCATTTGTATAAGTCACTATCTCATTAGAATATTTTCTGCCATTTCTTTTTGCGCAAAAAGCAGTATGGACTTTTTTTCAAAAAACCCATTTTGCACAAGAGCCTTATGTCTCTTGGAGACAGGCATAACGATCTTGCACAAAACAGGGTTTTTGAGCAACCCCCCATCCACACTGCTTCTTTTTGTGCAAAAAGAAACATCAGAATATATGCTAATGAGATAGCAACTTATGGTAACGAGTCTCTCAGCATATTTTCTGTTGGAAGAACTCGCAGTGAAGATGAAGCCATAGAGACAATTAGACAAAGAATATCTTGTCGCCTCTGTATAAAACCATTGTACATCCACAGCTTGAATACTGTGTATAGATGTGGTCGCCTCATCTCAAAAAAGATATATTGGCACTGGAAAAGGCTCAGAAAAGAGCAACAAAAGTGATGAGGGGTTTGGAATGGATCCCATATGAAGACAGATTTAAAAGCCTGGAATTTTTCAGCTTAGAAAAGAGGAGATTAAGTGGAGATATGATAGAGGTCTATAAGATCATGACCGGTGTGAAAAAAGTGAATAAGGAAAAGTTATTTTCTTGTTCCCATAACATAGGAACTTGGGGTCACAAAACGAAATGAATAGGTAGCAGGTTAAAATGAATAAAAGGAAGTTTTTCTTTATTCAGTGCATAATCAACTTGTGGAACTCCTTGCCAGAGGATGTTGTGAAGATCAGGACTTTAATAAGGTTTAAAAAAGAACTAGATAAATTCATGGGGGACAGGTCCATCAATGGCTATTAGCCAGGTTGGGTAGGAAAGGTGTCCCTAGCCTGTCGGAGGCTGGGAATGAGTGACAGGGGAGGGATGATGTGAAGATTAGCTGTTGTGCTCCCTCCCTCTTTCGACAGTGGCCAATGCCAGGTGCCCCAGAGAGGATACTGGGCTAGATGGACTTTTGGTCTGGCCCACTCTGGCCGTTCTTATGTTCCTGGGATTGTCTGTAGCTGGGGCATGAACCCAGTGGGCACCATGTCCATTCTGGTCCCCCTGCCTGTTAAAGCAAGATCCCTGCTGAAGGTGTAGGGGTCTGGCTCGACGCTGGGCACATGACGAGCCTGGGTGAGGCCAAAGCCAGTCCTGGCAATGCTGCGAGGGTCCAACACCAACGTGAGCCCCAGGATGACACTCACAGGCCCAATCCTGGGCACCCAAATAACTCCAGACACCCTCTGCTGCCCCCTATACATCTCTCCTGTTCCCTCGATTTCTTTCCACTCCCCGTGTCCATCGCCCAATCCTGGGCACCCAAATAACTCCAGACACCCTCTGCTGCCCCCTATACATCTCTCCTGTTCCCTCGATTTCTTTCCACTCCCCGTGTCCATCCCATGCTACCTGCAATAACAGACTGCAGCTTTACCTAGCACGTAATCTATGCCATCAAATGCCAGCAATGCCCCACTGCAATATATATTGGACAAACTGGATAGTCCCTAGAAAAAAAATAATGGACACAAATCAGATACCCGTAAACAGAACATACAAAAGCCCAAGGGGCACACTTTAATCTCTCTGAGCATGCATTAACAGATCTTCAAGTAGCTGTTTTGTTACAATCCAATTACAGGAGCCAAATACACAGGGAAGGACTGGAACTTCAGCTTATTCCCAAATTCAATTCTCACACCTCTGGATTAAACAAAGATACTGGATAGTTAGGTCACTACCTACCTGTCAAACAACAAAGACAACAATGGTTCTTTGTCTTTAAAGAATCTTAGATGTTTCATCAGTCTTTAAGTGTTTCCTAACTCTTTGTTGTTTGCTAATTAATGGTACTTATCTGCCCCCTTTGACTATCTAGTCTTTAGGTGCTTATAGACCAGTGGTGCCTGCGGATGCCATGGCGCCTGCCGGGGCATTTATGTTCACCCGCTGACTGATCAGGGCTGGCCCAAGTCATTCTTGCCACCCCCAGGCATGCAGCACATGAGTTGCCCCACCTCCGGGTGCCCAGCAGCCCCAAAAGATTGGGGACCACTGTTAGAGACTATTTGTTTTCCCTGTTGCTTTCCAGCTTGGCTTTCCCTTGATATATTTTAACCCACTGCCTTTTCTTGTTCCCCTCTCCCAATTTTCCCTTCTTTCATCCCAGCTCCCCTATTTATTTTGGTCCTAGACATCCAACACTCCAGTCATCTGAAGAAGTGGGCTGTGCCCATGAAAGCTCATGATCCCATCTACAAGTTTTGTTAGTCTATAAAGTGCTACCAGACCATTTGTTGTTTTTTCAGTTTACCTGTAGAGACTAACTCAGCTACCCCCTAAACCTTTATGGTACATTTCCCAAACTTCACATTGATCTAACATTCTGGCTATGTCTAGATTGCATCCCTTTTTTGTAAACGGGATGCAAATTAGATGTATCACAATTGCTAATGAAGCAGGGATTTAAATCACCCCCGCTTCATTAGCATAAAAATGGCTGCCGCTTTTTTCCGGCACGGAGCTTTGCTGGAAAAAAGCACCAGTCTAGATGCGGATCTTTCGGAAAATAAAGCCTTTTCCAAAAGATCCCTTATCCCTTATTTTAAGAGATAAATATAAACAGCACGGAGCTTTGCTGGAAAAAAGTGCCAGTCTAGATGCGGATCTTTTGGAAAATAAAGCCTTTTCCAAAAGATCCCTTATCCCTTATTTTAAGAGATAAATATAAAATAAGGGATCTTTCGGAAAAGGTCAAAAAGCTGCATCACCTCATTTGGCATAGTAGTGGCATATTTTATCTAACTTCTGAAGAAAAATGAGCATGTTGCATCATTTTGTACAAATACAAAGTAGTGATTTTGAACACAAATTTGAGCTTAGCTTGTGAAGTTTGTTTTCTTGCAAAAACCCTTCAATAGAATTATTTGCAATTCACTAAATGTTATCTGCTACGAAGTTAGAGTAGCCTTGTAAGTTAATGGTGTATGTAACTTAACATTTAACGTATAATATTAAATAAGACACTCAAAATACATTTATCATAGATCATTCAGTCACTTTCACTTTACTGTATTCAGAAAGGGAAACAGATGTAAAGATCCTTGGAAAAGTGGCTGTACCAAGTCAGTAATATCCATAGGTTCTAATTTTGGTGACATGCAACTACAGCTGACCTCTGGCTACCACTGCAATGACCACTTTCTGGGCCCAAGTTACAAAAAATTCCATTTCTCCCCTCGCTCAGCTCTTGAAGGTGAGACAGCATTGAAACTCTGCACCCAGCCAGAATCACAACTCAGATCCATGGGCCTGGATCCCAAGGATGAGAGTAAACGGGCATCAGTTCCAAACAGTACAGTTTGGGTGGGGGATGGGGAAATCATGGAGATCCAGGGAGGCCCTAGGAGATTAAATGTTTGGTGCAAAAATGATGCTGAGCTAAACCCATCCCAGCTGTGACTCCAGAGCACTGGACTCAACTCAGTTGCTAAACACAGATGGGGGGCTGGGTCCCTAGGAGGAAGAACCATTTAACTAAATTCCCATCCAATGTACAAACAATGAATTGAGTGTAAATGCAAAACAGCACTGGAGGTTTTGCCACAGAACAGTGAAGCCCGGGTGGCGGGGGGGCGGCAGGGTTGAATCTATTCTCTAGATGAACGGCTGCTGTCCAAATGCGGAATCGCTCCGGGTTATGCCCCTGGTGTTCACACAGAGCTTTGATTCTCTTTCTCCTTTCAGGATGCGAAAAGCACATTGAGCAGGTGCGTGTCCCATTTTTTGCTGCCCTCATATTCCTGGTGGGGGCCTGGTGGCAATGCTGGTGCAGAGTAGCTGCTGATGCTGGGACATTTGCTTCCTAGGAGTGAAAACATGAAACTCCAGGAACCCGAAGCCGCTTGCACCGACCTGCAGTGCGGGTATAAAATTTGTCTTGATTTGAGGGAAGCTCTGAACAGATTTGCAGGTGAGTGGAGCCCCTGGGACATCGAGCAGTTTGGTGCCGGGGGCTCTGAGCACCAGGACATGTGTGGACCCAGCTGGCAGGCTGGGAGCTGGGCGGTAGCTGAAGGAGGATGGGCTCAGAGCTGGGGAGTTTGCCTGCTGCTCATACCCACCTGCTGGCTCTTGCCAGGGATCTGATTCAGCCCCATCACCTGCCTGGGTCAATGGGGCCACTGAGCAGGTGCTGGAAGGCCTGGCTTGGACCCATGTGCTGGGGGCTGCACAGACAGGTAATGGGAGGTGGGTCTGTGTCTCTCTCCCTCCGGGCACATGGTATGGACTGTGCTTGGTGGCCCCCACTCAGCATTGCCACAGCCCTGTTAGCCCAGGTTGGCTGAGCTCTCTGAGCTGGGGAGGGTTGATCTGGCTGCTGTGCCCTGGCTTGGGCCGTGTGTTACTGGGGAGTAAATTGAGTCCTACGGGCCCCTTGATTGTCCAGCGTGAGGCTGGTCAGTGATTTGCTGCTCGGTGGGTGAGACTCCCTCTCCAGAGTGTGACCCTGTCACTGTCTGAGCATGAGCTACCCCCATTCAACCCCCCCCCAAGCCTAGCATGGAGCACAGATGTGGTTTAAAGGGACAGCTGCTGAACAGCTGATCCTGGTGGCTATCCCTTTGAACCACACATCTGCATGATTCAAAGGGGCAGCTACAGGGAGCCCAGGGTCAGCTGGGGTTTCCCCTCACTGATCCTGGGCTCCATTGCTTTGAAATTCACAAGAGCCCCATTGAGACTCTTGTGCATTTCAAAGAAGGCATCCAGTGGAATTCCACATGCCTCCTTTGAAATGTACAGGAACCCCAGCAGGGGCTCTTGTACATTGCAGTGGAGGAATGTGGAAGAGCCTATCGACTAGTCTTTAACATCCTTAACCCCAAATCCCTGCACCTCCTCCTGAACCCCATTCCCCTGCCCCAAATCACAACCCCCTCCTGCCCTAGGTCCCAGCCCAAACCCCTCCACCCTGTCCTGCACCCTAGTCCCATTCCCCAGATCACAACCCAAACCCCTGCACCCTAGTCCCCTAACCCAAGTCACAACTGCCTCCTTCACCCAAACTCCCTGCCAGACCCCACAACCTCTCCTGCACCCCAGTCCCTTACCTCAAGCTCCCTTCTGCACCCAGCCTCCATCCCAGACCCCCACCTCCTCCATTGATATGGGAGAGTGCGGCCCTCGACCACTTTCTAAATTCTTGGAGTGCCCCCCCCCCATCAGAAATTATTGCCCACCTCTGTCTTGGAAGCTGGGCAGTGAGCGTTATTACAGCTCTAGTGCCCATGTGGGAGCCAGGTGCTGCAAGGACAGAACAAGAGAATAAGGGAGTGCCTCAGCCTGGCCTGGGTGCCAGCTGGCTTTATAGCTCAAGCTGTAGCGGCTCCTTCACTAAGCTTAAGAGGTCCCAGGTTTAAATCTGCCTGGTGGGAGTTACATCACCACTTTGATTTTTTTTGGTGGGGCAGGAGAGGGATAGCTCAGTGATTTGAGCACTGACCTGCTAAGTGCAAGGCTGTGAGTTCAATCCTGGGGGCGCAAATCTGTCAGGGATGTACTTGGCCCTGTCATGAGGGTAGGGGACTGGAGTAGATGATCTCTCAAGGTTCCTTCCAGCTCTATGAGATGGTATATCTTCATTTATTTTAAGAGGTTGCTGGCCCCGAAGGGCTCCCAGGCCAAGTGCAGACCAGGTCCCACACAGGGAGCAGCAAACACCGAGGTGGTGCGAGGATCCCAGAGCACCCTTAGGCCTCCCTGGCTGGGTCTGTCAGTTCTGTGGTGACCCTGCTCGGTCTGAGCTGGTCTCGGCGCGCTGGAGCAGAATTTCTTCTGCTGACCCCCTGGGCCTTTGTCAGTGTCTTGGCCTGATTGCTCTCCAAAGCCACACACTGGTGGCTTCTGTCCTGCTCTGCCAAAGGCTCCCATGGACTGTCACCAGGTCACTCCTCTTGCTTGGGCAGGTCCAGTAAGAAACCTGGGACTGAGCCTGCATGTGGCAGAGCTGTTCACTAGCACCCTCCCGTCGCCGTCTGAGTACCTGTCACACCCCGCTCCTGGGACCTCCAGAAATGCTGAATCCCATTTAGCTTTTGCCCCAGCACCCTGGCTTAGAGAGCCAGCTGTGCCCTAGCACTGCTGGCTGCATCATTTCCCAGTGGAGTCCTTTCAGCACCCCAGACTGTCCCTTGCTCCTGTGGGCAGCCACATCTCACGTACCCGTCCTGCCCATGGTCAGTGCACAGCATTGGCCCAGTCCTCCACTGTCTTCTCTGACACTGTCTGTCTGGATGAGAATCAAGTCACTGTCCCTCTTAAAATAAGGGATCTTTCAGAAAAGGCTTTATTTTCCAAAAGATCTGCATCTAGACTGGCACTTTTTTCTGGCAAAACGCCGAGCCGGAAAAAAGTGGCAGCCATTTTTATGCAAATGAAATGGGGGGGATTTAAATCCCTGCTTCATTTGCAATTTGTCTAATTTGCATCCCTTTTCCGGAAAAGGGATGCAGTCTAGACACAGCCAGAGTGATTAACAGGGGGGCAGGTTAATTTCCCGCTCCCAGAGACTAGCCCCTTCCCCAGCTCTGACTCTGTGACTCTCTCCCCAGTGAACGTGACACTGGATCCAAGCACGGCAAATCCCTGGCTCGTCCTGTCTGCAGATCGGAAACGTGTGAGATGTGGAGACACGTACCAGGCTCTGCCCAGCACCCCTGAGAGATTTAAGAACTATCCCACTGTCCTGGGCGCTGAGGGGTTCGCGGGCGGGAGGTGTTACTGGGAGGTGGAGGTGGGGGACAAGCCTGAGTGGAACCTGGGGGTTTGCAGGGAATCAGTGAGCAGGAAGGAGGAGAACACACTCTCACCTGAGGATGGATACTGGGTTGTATGTCAGAGTGAGGGGGAATACCTGGCTTGCACCTCCCCCTCAACTCCCCTCCCCATGAGTTCCAGGCCCAGCCGGGTGGGGATTTTCCTGGACTACGAGGCGGGCGAGGTCTCGTTTTACAATGTGACTGACAGGTCCCATCTCTTCACCTTCACTGACACCTTCTCCGGGACGCTCCGCCCGTATTTCTATCCTGGCCTCTACGCTGGGGGCACGAACACAGATCCCCTGACAATCTGCCTGGTGCCAGCCCAGGACGGAGGGAATCCCAGCTCAGTCAGTGGAGGCAGCAGGGAGGAATGAGCTAGTGGAGAGAGGAGAGTGGTTAGCCCAGCTGGGCTGTGGCAGCAAGGAGAGATGAGGAGTGTTATCCCCACCCCTGTAGGGCTGGAAACACTCACATCGCTCCTGCTGCTAGTGCTCACCCTGCTCTGCTAACACTGCCTGCCTGCTGAGCTCAGGCCTTGTCCCACATCGCTCCTGCTGCTAGTGCTCGCCCTGCTTTGCGAACACTGCCTGCCTGCTGAGCTCAGGCCTTGTCTTCACTTCCAGAAAGACCAATGCTGCGGAAGTCAATCTTCCAGCATTTGATAGAGCTGGTCTAGTGAGGACCTGCTAAATCAAATGCTGAGGGCACCCTTGTTGACAGCTGCATTGGGTGGGAGGGAATTCTCCTAGATGGAGTCGCATGTCCAGCATCAATTTTGTCCTTCAATGCAGAACTGGTCTGAGTAACTCCAGGCTACTGGGTCCCTCAGGGGCACTTCCTTGGCCTGAGCAGCATCAGCCATGGGCAGTGGGTGATGGCCCAGTTTGGGAAGGCAGCTAAAGCCCTGCCCCTTCCACACAGGCCACACCCCTTCCACCCAAGACCACACCCCTTCTACAAACCCCCCCTCCCCAGCCAAGTCCTGCCCTACCTTAGCTGAGGGCCGGGGCTGGAGCCTTTCCCCACGCAGCATGCCAGGCCACACCCCTTCTACAAACCCCCCCTTCCCAGCCAAGCCCTGCCCTACCTTAGCTGAGGGCCAGGGCTGGAGCCTTTCCCCACGCAGCATGGCCCCAACCTTCCCTGGCTGCTGGGGAGCTGCATGGCCCAAGCCCTCATGAGTGGCTGGGCAACATAGGCCATTTGGGGCAGGCAATGCCTCCCCTTGCCTGCATTATGCACAGTTCATGGTACCAGCTTCTGGCTCCAGTTGCTGCAGCTGGCAGAGGGCTGGGAAAACAAATCCTGTGCCTGCAGGAAGAAAGCAGGTGGGCTCCTGAGATTCCTCCTTTTAGCTAGAAAAGGAGACAGAGGATGCTACTTGCACAGAGCTGAGGAAGGACCGGGTTTGGGGGTGGGGGAATTGGTGGGCAGGTGCCCAGTCATTGGAGAGGAATTATTCCAGTGATCGATCTGATACCTAGGTGGGTGGAGGGCTGAGGAACAGGAGAGTTTCACTTTCTCCATCTCCCAGTCCTAACTAGATGTGGGAGTGGGGGAAAGATTTCTGCTGCAGAAAATGCAGTTACTGCTCACTGGAGTTATGGTTTATTTGGATTCTTTTTAAAAAACTCTCGTCTCCTCCCCAAAAAGAAAATGCTGTTACTTGCTCACTGGCGTTATGGTTTATTTGGATTCTTTTTAAAAAACTCTCGTCTCCTCCCCAAAAGTGTAATTGAAAATCACTTTTTAACACATTAGAATCACAAAAATGACAATATATTGTTTATGCCTAATGTCTCATTGGATGGCAGTTGAGAATTGTTTAACTGGCACAGAGATTGATTCACTGAATGCCACCCCCACCAGAAATGTAAATTGTTTGGATTTAATTTTGCCTGGGAACATGTATTACAGCCAGGAGTGAAAGTAACTCACATTTCTTACAGGTACTGTTCTGTCACAACACATCCCATCCCTTGGGCGGGTGGGTTGTGATAGGACAGTACTGCTACGTCACATCAGCCCCTCAGAGCTGCTGGCCCCCAACCCTCTCCCCTCCAACCCTCTAAAATTCTGATTCTGGTATTAAAGCAGTTTCATTCCCACTGGAGTGTGAGCAGATGGGAGGAGGTTTCGTTCCCACTGGAGTGTGAGCAGATGGGAGGAGATATAGGGCAGGGGTTGGGAAGGGTAGGAGTCAAGATGTGAGGTACGGGCAGAAGTCAGGGCAGGGGGTTGTGGGATGGAGGGGCTCAGAGCAGGAGGTTGTGGGTGAGGCGCTCAGGGCTGGGGCCACCAGCACTGCCCAGCTGCTGTTCATCCCCATGGTTGGGTCATCTTAGTGGGATTATAACTGATGGGGGCAGGGAGAAGCCCTGGGAATGGTGGGCAGGTCTGGGCATTAACTCAGGGATCTTGGTAACTTTTCCCAGTAATTTTTAAATGCAATTTTTCTCTCTCACTCTCACCAGACTGAGCCTATTTTCTGGGGAAAAGAATAACGTGGCCACATGGAAGAGCTGATAAAAATCACATTGTTCGTTTCTCTCAGCTCCTTTCACTTCAGGAAGATGAGGTTTGCAACATTCCAGCTGAAAGCTGCAGCTGGAGTCTTATCTGGCACCTGAGCTGTGCTGGGCTGGGCACATCAGCCTTTGGAGCAACAGAACTTACCATGTCCCTGCAGCCTTACTTGGAGCGACCCCAGGGCTGTGGTTACTTTCCAACAGTTTCATGTTCAGGGCAGGATGGCAGAAACCCAGACAAGACAGAGTTTTCTTAGCTCGGTGTCTGCCTGTGACAACACAAGGGTCTGCTAGGCCCCCTAAGCACACACAGTGCAATACACATGGGGATGAGCTGTGTGCCCGGCCCGAGCCCATGGCAGAAGGAATCTGACCAACAGTTGCTGTGGTGGTCAGGTCATGTGAGAAGGTTCACAGGGTCTCAGACAGGCCAGAGCTCATTGATAGGAATTTCAGGCTGGGCAGGTCTTCAAGAAGACCCCACATCCTGCCCCTGTACTGTGGCAAGAGCCCAGTAAACCTGGCTGCACATGGCTTTATCCATAGAAAAAGACAGGAGGAGACTGCGCATGCAGCAGATGTCTGTCAGGGTGGGGGATGGATCGGTGGTGGCACCTTCATAAAGGATGATGCAGGTGGGGATATGGGAAGTAAAACAAGTAAGAAATATTAATTACGTAACCGGTTACAATTTTGTCAGTGACAGTATTTTTAACCTGCTGACAGGCAAGGCCAGTAGCAGACCTGGTCTCTCCTGGGGGCAGGGCTCTCTCGTGGGAACTGCCAGGGCTGGCCACAAGGATTTCCGGCAGGTGGGGATTCCCAGCAGCTGCAGACTGATGTTAGCTGCCAGGGGAAGTGGGCACTGCCAGGGACAGTGGGGAGTTGAACTGGTAACTGGCACCGATAAACATTTAGCTCATCAATTAACCAGTTTGAACTCTGGCTACAACCCAGTTGAATCCCAGTGGTGCCTGGCATGGCCCTGCGCTGCCTGGAGTGATGCTGTGGATGGACTCAATGCACTCGGGGCCCCACACAGTGTCCAGGCCAATTATCTCATCTAGTGCTGGCTGTAGCATCTGAGTTTAACCCCTCATGGAGCAGCCCAGAAGTTCAGCATCTCAGTGGGAAACCTCCTCTCCCTGCTGGGCCTGGGGCCTGTAACAAAGCATCTTTCCCTCCAAGGGCCACACTTCATCACTGTTCAGTGATGCTGAGGGACAGGGAGCTGTGTAATCTAACAATTGGACCAGAGTTCAGGACCGAACTCTATCCCTGCAGCAGGGCTCAGGGCTAAACTCTGTCACTGATTTGCTTGGTGACCATGAGGGAACTTGCTGCCTCACTTTCCCTTTTCATCATTTGTCTAACTAGACTGTGACCTGCTCAGGGCAGGGATTGTCCCTTGCTGGGTGCTGTGCAGGGCTCTGATTCCATTGTGGGTCTATGAGACAAATGACAGATTACTGACTGGCTGAGAAGCAGTAGTAACAGCTTGTAACCTCCTTTTCTCCAGTCCTGAGACAGCTCACTCCCATAGACTGGCCTGTAGCTCCTATGAGCTAAACCTCTCTGATTACACAAGGGAAGGTGTTAACAAACACCCCTCCTGTCACCAGATTCAGAGAGACATTTCCCACATCAGGTATCTGTAAAGCCTTGATGTAAATTGCCACAAAGCCAGAGCATGTACTTTTTATACATTGCCACAAAGCCAGAGCATTTACTTTTTATAGCATCTCTTGTACCATGAAGGCTTTAAAGAGCCATGTCACACCTATGCCAGGGAACAGTCAGTGAAATTAGCCTGTAAGTAAAACCCAACTTTATTTCCCATTACACTGGACAGCAACTCTGTACCTTGTACTCCTGGGCAGCTTCCTGTATAGGCGCCACCATTTGATCCCAGGATCTGTCACACCCCACACAGATGGGAGTTTCATCCTCTTCACAGAACAGCTTCAGAGCCTCCTGGTGCTCCCCTTCAGAGCCTCCCTGGTGCTGTCCCATGTTGCTCTCTTTGCTGCCTGGAAACTCAGCAGCTTGGCTAGTTCTACCATGGTTGTCAGCTGCCGGTTGTGCCAGCGGGGTCTCTGCTGCCCAGTGTTTCTGCACCGACAGCTGAGGGGGGCCTGGCAGGAACTGTGCCCACACTCTAGAGGGACAAGGACTGCGAAATCCTCCAGACAGACGGGACGTGGCGCTTCCTCCCAGAGACTTTCCACGGGACCCTCTGCAGCCATGGCTGCTTCTGGGCTGGGGAACAGAGGTAGTTTCAATTTCCTGAGTTCAGCAATGGGGGCAGGTCCAGAGGGCGGGTGCGTGATGCACCAGCACTGAGGCTAAAAAAAATCAAAAATTAAAAAAAAAAATCTTCCCCCTGTCTGTGCCCCTCATGCCAGGGACCCTCCTCATCCTGTGTTCAAATCCCTCCCCTGCACACTCTGCAGTCCCCCTCTCAGCCCCTCTGTGCACCTTCAGCCTGCACCCAGCCCTCCCCTCCCTCCGCCCAAGCCTGCCATCAGCCCCTCTGTGAGCCTTCGGCCTGCACCCAGCTCTCAGCCCTCCCCTCCCTCTGCCCAAACCTGCCAGGGAGAGCATCAGGAAGCACCAACAGCCAGAGAGGGGGCACGCCATGCACTGAGATGAATTTTTATAATTCAACAACAGAGGAAAAAAGCAGCACCGAGCCAGCCTGAGACAAGGCCATTGCACAGCTAGAGCAGAGCCCCCAGACCCTGCTCCCAGAAGGTGCATCCTGATACCCAAAGCCTGACCAACAAGCAGCACAGGATGGTGGGTCACAACCACTCCTCCTTCCTCAGCCCAGCTGTGCCAATCTCCTCAACTCCCAAAAGCTGAGCTGCAGCCCCCCAGCCTTGCCACACCTTGTCCCCTCCCCCACAGCCTGTGTGCGCCCATCAGACAGACCCCACACACAGAGATGCCCTGCAAGTGCCAGATGGGTGCTGCTGCCATCTCTCCTCAAAACCCAACCCCCCCACTCTCCTGCCTCACCAAACCACTCCCCTGCCATGAGCCAGGCACAGCCACTCACCCAGCAGCTGCCACCCCACAAACAAGGCTGCCCCAGTACTGAGCCTGGTCCCGCAGCTACATGGGGGTGAAGCAGGAGTGAGGAGCGGGGCCCCCAGCAGGCCTAAGGCCCAAAAGTCAAATCCGCACAGGCACAGCACAGGGCTGTCCCAGCTGTTTGGAGCAGTGGGCCTACCTGGAAGCCAATCATGCACTGTGGAGGGAAACAAACCCATCCCCCATCTAAGCGAAGGGTAAAGCAGAAACCCCATCCCGGGCACAGCCCTAGCTGGGGCCAGGCAGTAGCTGCATGAAACAGCAGGGTCAGGCTGGCAGGCTCTGCCTGGGCAGCCCTGGGCTGCAGCAGCAGCACATCTCTCTCCCAGGCCTGGCCTGGGCTTCAGATGGAGCTGGGAGCAGCCCCCAAAAATATTCCAGCCTGTAGGATGTTGGGCCCATGTACCTGTGAGGCACCTTTTTGGGTGTTTCCTTCCCCTCCTCACTCCACCCCGATCAGGAGGAACCCTAGGGGCATTATCTGTGGTCATGCAAGGACAGCCAGGCCAGACAAGATTCACTGAAGTATATAAGTACAGGTAGCAGCACTGCTGGACCAAACATTTGTGTCAGTAACCCTTGAGTTAACTTTCCACAATGGCACATTTTTGTCAGTAACCCTTGAGTTAACTTTTCACAATGGCGTGAAAATAAGCATTTCTGTGCCCTTGCTACCAGTCTGAGTTTTCACAGGTGCAGGGAGCGAGGGGGGAATAGGTCACTAGTGAGTGAGACCACAATGCCTGGCAGCAGGCACTGGGATTCCAAACATTAGTGCTTTATCGCCAGATTGGCAGCAGCATCACCTCTTAAAGATGCAAACAAATAAGGTCTTAAACCAAACAACTAAGTTCTCAGGCAGCGTTATTCTTACCTGGCATCGGGGTCGCTCTGTTATGAGCTGAAGAATTTTCCACTGGTTTGTGTGTGTAGAGTAGGGCAGGGATGTTACACTGAGATTCATTTGCTGTTACTACTCTTCAAACCTTAAAGGGCTGCGGGGAGCATGGGGCCCCCCAGGAGAACTCTCCAGCTGGCCCCGGCTGCACATGGTGTTTCAAAGAGGCAGCCCAGGGGCTGGCCCCAGCCTCCAGGCAGCGCTGCCCCTTTTAAAGCCCCCCCCCTTCCCCTGCAAGCGCCAGGGGAGCAGTGCAAGGGCAAGTACGCGAATGCTGCAGTTATTGCCCCCCCTCCGCCCCCTTGCTGTGAGCCAGGCTCAGAGTCTCCATACAGAAGGCGGAGGGGGGGGGCCTTGGGGACACTCTGACTCGTCTATTGACACCCCATCAGCGTTTGCTCCCCGTGCAGGGCACCGACCCGTC